GAGCAACGTGACCAATTGTTTGTTCCTAAAGGCCAAAGTAATTTTGGTAAGTGGTTTTTCTTATTAATCTTCTCTGTGTTTCTCTATTTCCTATGTAAAAGCATAGTTTTCTGTTAATTATACGGTTAAATTCCGAATATCGGACATACCTACCTATATTGCTCCACGCCCTGTCTCATATCGTCCATTTGTTTCAGGCCTTTATTCATCACCTTTGGAAGTTACACTTTAATCTTCACCTTTAGACGTTACGTTTTAATCGTCACGCTTAGTCCTTAACTTGAGTAAAGAGTTAAACGTTGAGCTTACTGTGTGGTTCAAGTAGTACCTCCAATCTTTAGCCTCCTCTAGACCATTGGAAGCTTTAGTGACTCCTAATTACTGAACTTCAGTGCCCAGGGCCAGTGGCTTCTTGTTGCGGTCTTGATCCAGTCCCAGGCCATCGGAAACACTGGAAGATATTAATTCCATCCGTCAGGTTTTCCCAAGAGATTAGGGACTACTCAGGTTTGATAAGTGTGTTGTATTGTCTTAATATCAAACCTTACCAACCCCTTGTTGGAGTAAATCACCACAACAACGCAGTTCTACTACAAGATCAAATTACCCTTCAGATTATGTGTTGTTATTTCAATTTTTAATTAATTATATCTTTATTACGTTTTTTTTATGAAATTTACCATTCAGGTTATGTACTGTTAGGTACTTCAATTTTAAGTATTTATCTATACCTTCTATAGTATTCCAGTATATTAAATTTGCCCCTCAGGCTATATATTGTTTCTTCAAGTTTAATTAATGATCTATATTTCTCTAATATCCCGTAAATACATGCTGCACTGAATACAGGAAAATACTTGTACACTGGGGTTAAATGGCCATTTACGAAGGTACTGCATTAAGTGAGCTTATTTATTAATTAATATTTCAGGTAATATTGCTGTTAATTGTTATTACTCTTTATTTTATTTTTTTTTTATTTAGGGACTCAAGTTGAGTGTAATTAATAATTATTGTAAATACTATTTTAAGAACATATGGTTTGGTACTCCGAGACGATTTCTTTTCTTGTTCTGGTTCCAGTGTGAATAATTTTCAGTGTTCTAGGGCGTTCGGAAAACCCACTTCGAACCTGCTCTAGAGTCAACCTGTTCTGGTTTACATTTCTGGATCTAATTAAAACCCGTACCTGATTGTAGCAAAGCGTTTCACTTTTGTCCTTCCTTCTTGTTTACGTTTCTATTTCAGGTTGTGCTGCTATAGGTCCGTAGAAGTTTCCTGCTTTCGTTATATCGGTTGATTTCGTGTACTACAGGGAAAAGCAGGTGGCGCTCTATATTTAGTTATTTAACTGAGCCACACCCCTCTTCGCATTGGAAGCTAGTCGGCAACCCTTTACACCAGTGATTCCCAAACTTTTTTAACCTACCGCCCACTTTTAGAGAATGGGAATTATCCAACCCCACCCTTGCAGGGATCCAAGATATTGAAGCGGCGCCATTTTTTTTAAAAAAATTCATGGTCGTGCATTTTCTTGGCGAGGGACAGCATCAAGTTACCTCCCTAGTAGGATTTTGTCAGAAACTGACCCAATATGGAAATTTTGAGAAAAACCTGATCCAACACAATTCAGCACACTTCAGATTGCATAAGAATCCATTTTTGTTTCATCTTATTTCCAAAATTTTGGGAGGCTTAGCGTCAAGTTAGCCCCCCCAGTAAGATTTTGTCGAAAAATTACCGAATATAGAAATTTTGAGAAAAACCTAATAGAGTACAGTTCAGTAACTTATTTCGATTGCATAAGAATTCATTTTTGTTTAATCGGATTCCCAAAATTTTGGGGGGGCTGAGCGTCAAGTTTGCCTCTCATCTTGTTTTTTCTTTAACTTTGGTATCAGAACAGCACAGTTCAAAGTGGTTGCAATTTTGTTAGAAAATTCGAATGTGGGGGGGCTAACTTGACGGAGTTTATTTTTAAGCTTTTTGAAGTTATTTATAAGTAAAATACAATAACTTTAATGCAGCTGCTGCTGATCAATGCGTGTATTAGCGGCATCGCATTTTAAGCAACTCATAGCAGACTTAGTTGAAGTGCGTACGGGCTTCCGGATTTGCGTTGAAACTCTAGGGCTGCGTTCATAACTGAAAGCTTCCCAAAATTGACTCCGAAAGGCATAGACTTAGACTGACTATCAGCCTTATCTTTCGAGTATTGAAGAGTAATTTCCGTAAAAAGCCATTTACTATTAAATTTCAATTTTTTTTCTGATCTGTTCGTTTATTTTCCACCGCTCACTAATTTATGCTTACCGCCCCCCAAAATCAGCTGGGCTCTTTACCGCCCCCCGAGATGGTTGTAGCGCCCACTGGGGGGGCGTTATCGCCCACTTTGGGAACCACTGCTTTACACGAAATCACGCTTCTAGATTTCAGCCACCAACCAACTCTCTCTCTCTTTTCTTTTTATTTTATTTTTTTCTTTTTAGTTACCGATTAACTTTCCCACCTCCTCAAAATCTTATTATTGACTTCTCCGCTACGTTTTGCGGGTAACAAAGTGGCAGTGCCCGTGTTGCCACGTAACAAGGTCGATCGAGTGTACGCCACTGATATTTTCCTATTTCTGACTAACTCCTCAACCTTTCCATGTTAGTATAAATTCAATCCTATGTACAGTTTTTGAATAATTATACAGTTTCCTACCTAGAGTTTTTGAATAATCATACAGTTTTGTATATTTTCGTATGGTTCTCCATTCGTAGGTTGATCGAGTGTACGCCACTGATATTTTCCTATTTCTGACTAACTCCTCAACCTTTCCATGTTAGTATGAATTCAATCCTATGTACAGTCCTTGAATAATATACATTTTTTAAAAGTATTTCATTTCATAACAAATCCTTTTCATTGTAGGTACCTAATATTGAGAAAAAAAAAGCATTCTATATGTAATTAAAGTATGAATAGTCTATATGTAATAGTGAATAGTAGAATTTACTGTTGAGCCACATTTGTTCAAATATCTCTCTCTTTCTTAGACAGTAATGAGTAAATTGTTGTAACCAATCTCAGGATAAGGAACATCATAACTTGGGTGAATACGTTTCCAGGTGCTGATGATGAATCCGACTATAATACAGTGTGCGATTAGCGGAACCTAAGACAAAACATACCAATGGAAGGACTGACCCCAAGGAGAAAGGGCGACAAAATAAGATCAGAATACATCTCACCAGACAACTCTCCAATATAAGGGCTACAGACGCCATTGAAGAATACTGTTAGGATATCTTAAACATCTGGGAAAACAACACAAATCTATTAAAAGAGGGGACAGCATGCAGAACTGAATGGATGACCAGACTAGATTTGACGAAGAGGAGTAGACAGCATAAGATTTAAAACTGACATTTCCAAAGGCTAGATGAGCAATGTACAGAAGTTCAGAGCTTAAATAATATTGCCGATAGCTTTCATCTTCATCTTACAAAAGTTTATTTATCCAATAGATGGACTGTATAAGAATTGATAAGTCATACCAGAGACTAGGAAGAGTGGAAAATAAGCTATTTAACAACGATATATAAGAAAGAAGTTAGAAGCAAATGCGAGAACCACTGAGGAATTGCAGTAACAAACACACTGAGCAGAGTGTACGGAAGACTCATAAAAGCTAGAATAGAGAACGAGTAGAAAGATAGTGAGGCAGAAGAACAGGCCGGTTTTAGAGCAGGAAGATCAACTGTAGACCATTTATTTAGTTTGACCCAGGTAATAGAAAAGAAACTAGCGTATAACCAAGAACTCCATTTACTCTTTGTAGATCTAAAGAAAGCATATGACAATGTTCCGCTGAAAAAGCTTTGGGAAGCACTGGAAAGAACCAATATCAATTTAGAACTAATAAAGGCAGTGAAAACGCTCTATAGTGATTCAAAGACAGGAAAGGATAACAAATCTGAGAATAAGGGAGATTATGGACGTAAAACACACAATAGTAGATGATCTAAAGGACAAACAGCTGATTTGTATGTACATGTACAAAGAATGGCAGATACAAGGATACCCAAGCAAATTATTGAGTGGAATCCAGGGGGAAGAAGAAGACGCGGCAGACCAAGAAGAAGCTGGAGAAGTGGAGTGGACGAAGAAATGAGAGACAGAGGCTTAGAGGAGGATGCCTGGACTGATAGAGATGGTTGGAGATCGGGAATCGGAAGACGTAGAACGTTATAAACCGATGATTATATATATACCAGAGACTAGACGAAGTCATGTTGGGCATGTGAATTCATGCAGAACCACTACAAAAATGATAATGAAAAAATATGTGAATAACAATTTTTCCCAATGCTGTAATTCAATTTCGACTCAATTAAAACCTACTCTTGAACAATAGAGTTCAATCAAACAATATTCTATTATATTCAAATTAAATCCACAATGGCGGAACGTAGGTGCAATAAACGCACCTACAATTTTTTTTTTAATTAACAAAAACTCGCTGGAATTTATTGTTTCGCGGACAGAGATTTCGTATAGTGCCATTTTCGTTCCATTTATTTCAATTTTCGGCCTGGCCTGATGGCGTTTAATTGTCAAAACCGATTTAAAAAGTGTGTATTCCGTCTCGGTTCAGTAACTCTTGCTGTTTAATTTGTATTTAGTTTAACGCCTACGCGCCGTTAGTTTTAATTGTCGCGACAAACACCGGCTGCATTTTTTCCCAGCGCGACAGTCATTTCGGGAGATGGATTTACATCGCAATGGCTAATTGATTCCACGGGAAAATTTTTGATTTGCCTTGAAAAATATTGTTAAAAATGCATGAAGTTCAAATTTCACAAGCTGAACTGTGACAATTTTTTTGCTTTTAATTATTTTTCATCATATTTCAATTCCAGATATAAAAAATGGAAATGAAATTTCAGTGTTCTGTTGCCACCTTTTACGCACGCATACTTTATTTCTAAATTAATTATCACTATAGAACTTACCTTCAGTTACTCGAGTTAACTCCATTGATCTGCAAACATTAGAAGAACAAGGACTGGATTGGTAATCCTTTCCGGAGCAACTTTTCTTGGTTCCTCCAGTTCCAGGCATACACTGTCGCTTTCTGATTTTAACGCAGTCTTCGTTGCAGTCCGACCATTCCGACCAGGCGGACCAATGCGCTGGCTCAACTAAATAAAGCAGGTTAAATTATTTTAAAACACGTATTGATCATAGGTTCCACAAAAACTACCTATTGAATAATTTTGTGTATTTTGTAAGTAAATATTAAATGTATCGAACTAACAAAGTAAAAGAATACAATGGAACCTGCTAAAGAATGTTTTAATTTGTCAAAATAAAAAGTGAGATAATTCAGAATGAAATTTAAATATTGTGGTGTTCACTAATTTCTATAAAATAGAACAAATACTTTCTTTGTTCATTCAGTAATATTTATTTCTTTACTTGTACTCTCGCTAACCGCCGTTGATCGACTACCGTGCCCACAATACAACCCTTCGCTTGCCTAGTCATCTTTATATATACAAACGGATTACATCACCAAATAATATTATTGTATACAATTCGATACCTCACAAATATTATGTTAACAATTGATTTACTTATATGTCTTTACAAAATTTGACGTGTCTAGGAACTTCCCGACCAGATGGAAAATGGGAAGGTTGAATTAATGGAACTTTCAGCTGCAAGGTATCGCTGAAATTTGATGATATTTTAAAGCGCATTCATCATAAACAGAGCAGAACAGATGAATTGTTTCCATTATTTTCCGTGATAACCAAGATTTTATTTTAACAAAGGATGTATTCGTTAAAAGCTATCAACGTTGAAAACCCGAGACCAAGATGATGGCTTTTTATGAAATAATTCCGTTATTTGCAAGGTTCCTAAAGTTAATAGGTTGCCTGATAATGGGTAACTTGATGACGTATCTGGGGTGCTTTATGGAGATTTGGATTATGTTGAGGCACCCCGGATGACGTCACAAAGTTATCAAGTAACCTACCCCTCTTAACTAAATTCAGTTTTTTTCGATTGTGAATTTGGCTTTGGTTGAAGAAAATTAATGTTTACTCTCTGGATCAGAAGGCACCTAAAATTAAAATTTTACATCATCCCTTTTTAAACAGCTTGTGGGCATTATTCTTGTAAAGTGTACCACCAAATAAATAAACTCTGGCACAGGAATGTTCAAAGAATGTAAAGAAAACAAAAAAAATCTCCAGCGCAGCCCTGTTTCACTCTATTTGCACTGCATGCACTGCACTACTCCATCTGTTCTACTCTATCTGCACTATTTTTTCTGATCTATTCCTTCTGCACCACTCTATCTGATCGGAATAGTAAAATAGTTCTGTTTGGAATAGCTCCAGTTCCTGAGCAGCATTGTTCTATTGTATCTGCAATGAAATTACCGCGCAACGGCGAGCTTCGTTCTAGGTATCAGAGATAGCGCCGTATACAAAATGGTTTACAATGAAAATGTGGCGGTAAACTTGGTATCGGTTATAAGAGATGGCGTCGTATGCGGGTGAATTTTTTTCATAAATAAGTAAGGTAAAGTGGGGTAAGTGCGACCAGAAATTTCAATAGTGTCAGTTCAATGTAATATCAAAATTTATTTATGCGAATGGAGCTTTCTATTCTTGAACATAAGGCACCCATTTACAGCCATTTCATCGAAATCATCAAATTTGTACGATACATGTAATGGGTGATGTATATTTTTCTGCTTGCATGTGATTGCACTTTCCCGATGCCATCGGGAAAGTGCAATCTGTTTGTATTGTAAATTAGAGACGGGAATCAATAGTAATCATAGAAACACGAGTATTTGGTGTATTTGTCGAGATGAACTAAAAAAAACACAGTGAAAACTAAAAACAGTATTTGGAGGCAGTTTATGTCATTTTGCGGCGTAAAAAGTATACTTTTGATCAAGATACTCCAATATCCAAACTTGCACCTATCCTAAAAAGCTGGGCCTTTAATATGAGAAAAAGGAACTGGGAAGAATATAAAAAGCATTACAGTAAAAGTTCTCTGGAATGTTATCGCAAAATTGCTCATGGAAAAATATTTTAACGACTTTAACAAATTTAAATTTAATTTTATTCCACAATTTCTATAAAATTCGTGAAATATTCCCCATAAATACCATTCGTGCTTAAAAATTAACCAGATAATTTTCATTCAAGCTTGTTGTACAAATTCCACTCGTTCTTCAAACTCGTGGAATTAAAACAACAAGCTTTCATGAAAATTATTGGTAATTTTTAAGCACTCGTGGTATTACCCCCGATAATTATTTTGCTTATGAGCTAGCAGTCATGAATTCCATTGAGCAGCAACCTTGTGCTAGCCGGAACTAAGAAAAATAGTATGAACTGATGTAAATCTGAGAACGTTTTTAGTAAATGCACTAACACGCGCAGGCCCAAAAAGGATTAAATCTCAATTGAATTCTCTTCCTGTTCGAAATTTATTGCACCATTCAACCACTGCCGTAGAAGAATAACTTTAGTCACCACATACAGCTGGTATAAATTTTGTTTGGCTGACGCCCCTTAGTGGCCGTAAACTGAATAATAGCACGCAGATTATCTTTGAAAGGATTTTTATCGAAGGAGCTATTTGACAACCCAGTCGTAACCAATGGAAAAGATGAAACTGCAAATATTTTCGATAGTCGTGTCACTAGTACTTAATCAAAAAGCCTACGCAGATCAAACGTGCTTCTATTAAACAAATCTTATACCTACAAATAATATCATCTCAAACCATTAGGAATTGAATTATGTATATGTGTATTTGATTTTTATGTTTTTGGCATCGGATTAAACCAGTGACATTAAACAGTTACTTAGTGTCAGTAATAGAAAAATAAATTACTTCTGTTTTATTCACTAAGAAGGTACTTGGGTTCTATTTTACTTGAACATGCAGGTTTTGTCATAAAACCGAAAAGAGTCGACAAAATTCAAATCGACAATCCTCATTTGATATTTTTGCTGAAATCGTGTCTCATTGTATCGCTGATCACTACATTTTTCGGTCTAATCCATTATCCCGATAATGCAGTTAACTTGATTTGGAAATAGCATAAAGTTGGGATAAATTTCCAATCTTATTAGCAATGGTTTGAGTTTGGATATTACTTACATCAAAAACTACCTACCGTCCCATCTTGTTCTTATCCCAAATATGTGCTCAAACGAAATTCAGTAACTAGCTAAATTCAACAAGATGGTATACGGATCAACCACTCAAAGACTCAATCCCTTACGATCCAAAGATGTCAAAAGACGGCTTAAAGATAGTTCTCTCATTAATTCTCGTTGGAAAGAACACTTGAACAATTTAATAGAGAAACACAAATTAATAAGGACATCTTGAATGAAATTCCACAAAAACCACAACAAGAACTGAGCGAGATTTCCATATTAGAGGTGGTTGAAAAGGCAATCAGACAACTAAAGAACAATAAGTCAGCTGGTACTGACGGCATTCTTGCTGAATTATTGAAACAAGCAGGCCACCACACACTAAGTGCCCAAACCCACGTCCTAATAAGCAAAATATGGATTATTGAGACCATACCTGCCGAACTCCTGTACGGACTTAATGTCGACTTATTGAACTTAAACAGATTACGAGTCAATCGTCAGGCAATCATCAATGCATTCAACCAGGCATATAGGAGAATCGGTCTAAAGGTCAATGTTACCAAGATGCAGATTCTGCACCAACCCGCACTAGATAGTATTCCCCAAGCCTCAAATATAACTATAAATGACCATTTTCTGCAGAAGGTAGAACACTACCCATGCTTTGGGAGCTATTTTTCAGCGAATGCTGAAATTGACGCTGAAATCCAACATGGCTTGACTTCTAGAGAAAGTCTTCAACAATCAAGACATCGGCGCTAAAACCAAACTTCGACGCAGCGACAGCGACGCAGTGTGCCAATACTGTGGAAGACTGTGTGGCTCCAGAATTGACTTATATAGCCATCAGAACACGCACAATCGACGACAAGATAATCTCGGTATCGAGTGATCGCCTATGGTGATAATGATCCCAAATAAACAGGGTGTTCATGGAAATCAACAAATAGTTATCGCCTAGAATGAACAGCTAGGAACCTGTTGAACACGCTGGGTTTTCCCATCGTTTTAGTATCAACTTCGGACAATCTCCTTCCGATATAAATTATTGTAGCAAATGAAAATGAATACCATCTTTTTATCTATCTCGCTTTCGTGGAGTACCTGAAAGCATTCGAAGACTATGGAAATGCAATGAACAACTTTCTAATCGACTAGCTGAAAGAAAATTACAATCCCATTCCAATTAGGAGAACAATAAGAGAGGGAGATGTAGTATCACCAAAACTTCCCACACCGGTAAGCATCAAAACATTTTGCCGCCCAATCTAGCCATATATCCCGGAAATCTGACCAATCAAATTCGATGTGGCTATTTTGAGCGGCATAATGTTGCTACATGGGCTAGATCAGGAGTCAGAATGTCGGAAAGGCCTGTCACACTTGTCCATTAGAAATGCTGCATGTTTTGTTGATTTCCCGCTCATTGATCTATTGAAATTTATGCGAAGACATTTTAATATTTATTTATGATGGAGATGGATTCGATAAAACTACCCACAACGTTTGTTTATTCTAATGTGAGTGAAAACACTTATCGTGCAAACTTGTTATCGGAAAACGACATTATTCCCAAAAAGCATCTTCGAATACTCCAAGCTATAGTATCGAATTAAGGTATTTAATGACACAGTTAGCTTTTGGAGAAAATGTCCAGTCAAAAGATTTTTATACGCACTTGCAGTTGCAAATTAAAACATGACTAAATATGTGGGTGAAGTTCCTGAAAATTTTACCACTGTTAACTTAAATAATAGTTTAATATCGGATGATAATATTGGAAATCGAACCCATCAAGCGACCTTCAATAAGAGGAAAACACTAGTGGATATTTTTTTGCCTCACTTATCAATTTGATGAAGAAAACTCATGGCACTACTGCCCAAGGTTCTAAGAAATTTGTGTCAAGACTTAGTTCATTTAAAACAAAAAATGCATGGGAAACTTTTCTAAATACAGCTGGAAGGAAATTGTTCAAAAACGTGTACCTAGTCTTTCAAAATTGGGAACTTAAATTTTTAATTATTAGGTATTCAGATTTTGCAAAATCTAAATTTATTGACCCCTTATATCCAAAACGAATGTATTTCTCAATTCCTCCATTTCAATCAAAAAAATAACAATTTAATCAATATATTCATGAAAAAAATGTATAGGGAACAGAAATAAAATCTAAATTTCTGAATTGTATGACACGTACAAAAGACAGTCAGATTTTTAACATCAACCATTATTTGTTAAATTTTTTTGTGTCATCAAATGTTAAATTGACTTGTAAAGGTGATAGATAATTTCACGTTGCCAAGACAACGTTGAATTTTCGAATGTAATACCACAAGAGGTTTCAGGATTACCGAATAATACTTTTATCTGTCACGAAACGCGTTACGCAGCAACGCGTTGAGTGTAAGGTAAAAGTATTAGGTAATCCTGAAACATCGAGTGGTATTTAAAAGGTTATACAACGAACTAAACTTTAATACTTTAAAATTTGAAAAAAAAATCTATAATAGAATTTGCCATGAATGCCACCAAGCGCGATAATCCCAAAAGGCTTATCACTTCTTAAGCCTTTCGTCTCATATGGGAATAATGTACAGTGAGTTGTATAACCGCTGTAATTTTTCGATTTGTCACTTCTCTTATGGGAAAACTTATACATGAGTGACATATTCGAATGTTTCAGGAGGTTTCAGGATTACCGGATAATATACTTTTACATGTCACGAAACGCGTTACGCAGCAACACCACGACTCCGAAGCTGCTAACGCGTTGAGTGTCAGGTAAAAGTATTAGGTAATCCTGAAACATCGAGTGGTATTCAAAAGGTTATACAACGAACGAAACTTCAATTCCAAAAGGCTTATCACTTTTTAAGCCTCTCCTGTCATATGGGAATAATATACAGTGAGTTGTATAACCGCTGTAATTTTTCGATTTGTCACTTCTCTTATAGGAAATTTTATACATATTCAGTATATTCATTTTCATAACATGTTTTGCCGCTAATCAAAAGGAGGAATCAGAATACAGTGAAAAAATTTACAATCTCTAATAGCGGGAGAATCTCAGTCCCAATCTTCAGCAGGAAACTTATGGTGATCGTATTTTTTGATTTGGGGTGCATTACTCATGCATTTTTGAGAACATCAAAAATCAGGTGTCGAAATAAGGACACATAGAAGTGATCTTGTGAAAGGTAATCCATGAACCCATAACCCGGAAGTTTCCATAATTATGCTGCTTGGTGGTAGGAATTGGGAAGTTATATGTATAACACTCAACAAAATTGGCTTTTGGAAAATGGTTCCGCAAAAAGTCACAACATTGAAACTCGTGCCTTGGTGTGTATTTCGAAAATAAAAAAGCTTTAGGGCCTCCAGATAATGCCCTCTTACAATCATTACATATTGATATTCATCTATTCTAACAAATCTACAACGCTAGAATGTTCTACGCTTGATAATCATTTTCTATTTAGTTATCAATAAAGAAAAGGTATACTTATTGTTGTTTCCATATGGAAGCAGTTGAGTTACAAATTACACAAATAAATATCAATTAAATTACTGTATTGTCTAAATAATTACCTTAGTGTATAGTGAATAATAGTGTGGTGATGGTGGTGGTGGACTGTAGAGTACCTACAAGCTATCTAAGTGAATGAAGCAGTGACAAAAAAATAATGGTTTGCTAGAATAAGTGGTCTTACATCATTAAATGAAATTGTAGCATTATTTTTCATCTAGCATATTATATTCTAACCTTTACCTTACGAGTTACTGTGTGAAATAATAATATATCAAGCTTTGGCCTATATACCCTTACCGTTATTATAATCATAGTCGTAGGCTGTATCCAGAACCAATTCTTCTACGAAAGCAGTGAATGACAAACATTAAAAGCAATTATATTATTACGAGACAATAAATAATGGAATATTGGTGCCTTAGGGAAGACATTTATTGTAGCAATTAATGAATCTTATAGAAACGAAATGAAAGCAAATTAAAAGAGATGTATGTACTTCGATACCTAAAAAATATACAGAACCCTATAAAAAATAAGTTGTAATATTCAAAAATATCGTTTCCTGATGACATAATGTTTTCATCACCGAACACAAAAACAGTTTGATTTATTGATTACCGAAAAAATGTATAGCTCTCTATTAGAAGGGACCAAACCCAACGTTTTATCATAATTTGGAAAAACCATGCCGAGAATCATTGAAAACCCAGGGGGTATTGCATGCCGAGATAATTAAAGGTAAAAATTAATTGATTCGAAAAGCAAAAGTTGCTCGATTTGATGACCCACGAACAAAAAAAAGATTTAATCATAAATAATATTTATGGTAAGTTATTATGATGTCAAAACATTGAATTTATTTTACAGCTTCAATTTTTTCATAAAGAAGGAACATCTATATAGTCTTTCCAATAACTAACTTTTATTGAAACCATATAGCGCGCCTTTTGTACTATCGTGTTTGGGATGATGAAGTAATTACTTTTATGGTTTCCAATACAGATACGGTAAATTTGAAAATGGAAAAAAAACGGTTATTCATCTAATAATAAAGTCGTTATTTGATAATTGCGTAGGTTAGATTAGTTAAATAACTTAAGTTAAGCAATGACATTTTAATTTGGTTTATTCAAATGAAGTTATGTTAATTTTAAATATTTAAACTGCTTGTCGATTACTAGGCTTGATTTTGGAAATTTTATTATGCACATATAATTTCTTCCTTTTTAAAGACACCAATAAACTCCCAACAAAAATACAATAAAGCAATAGCTTCGTTATTAGCTCTACATTAATTTCCTGGCAAATAGACTATAGAGTATCTGGAGCAAATAATCTTACCTTGCGGACACAAAACACAATCCTTAGTTCTTTTTACGGCGGACCCGTGACAAGGCAATCCGCCGTTGCTGGGAGCCGGATTATTGCAAGTCCTGGTGCTCATTTTTCCGGTGGCCAGGATATCGCCGGGACAGTGGCAATCCGTCCATGTTCCCCAGGTTGACCATCCTCCGTTAACTGAAAAAAATAAAATAAAAGTGAAGAAAATGGTCATTTACATAAGTAAGTAATTTAATTAATTTACGAAAACATATTTCTACTACTTATTTAGAGATATTTCACACAATCAAATAAAATGTAGTTGTTCGAGGATATTAGATATTTTGATCTCATTGTGCTAGAAGACTTGAGACAGGCATTATGTCATGTTTTAGATGTTAAATAAACATGATATTCAAATTAAATTAAATATAACTTTTATTTAAATTAATTACTAGGTTCATTAAAACCACGAAGTTTGACAAAACGCGTACTTGTCATGGAATATCATACAACAAAATAAAATGTCAATTCATTTGGAACTTGATTAGCATTTTGCCAACCATTTTCAATATAATTTTTTAAGGCAACTAATTCTGAATCAGCCGCTGTTTCTTTCTGAAATAATTCTAGTTTTTTGGAAATTTGTTCTAGTAGCTTGGGATCACTTCCAATAATTACCGTTTTACCAAATATATATTGGTGAAAGCGTTCACAACCATCGCATATCGTTAATAGTTCCTTTTCAACTTGAGCCCAAATTCTTTGATCAGCTGTAAGACTTTTTGAGGCATATGCTGCTGGTAGGATATCTTGTAGAATAACAGCACCTAATCCTACACTACTACTAACTACTGATATAACTACAGGTTTTTCTATGTCAAAATATTTCGAAATAGAAGCTTTTTGTAACATTTCTTTTAGTTTTGAAACATCACTAATATGATTTTCAGTCCATGAAAATTCAACGTTTTTCTTTAAAAGTTGTCTCATTAAATCAGTAATTTTAATTTTAAATTTTGAAACATAAGTTATCATACCTAAAATGGTCTGTAATTCTTTTATATTTTTTGGTACCTCAAGATCCAGAATAGCTTGTACTTTGTTATTATCAGGTTTCAGTACTTCCGCGCACTCAAAACATGTCCCAAATATTTCACCTCTCTTACTCCAAACTTACATTTGCTTTTGTCAAATTTCACATTAGCACTTCTTGCTCTCTCAAGTACTTCAATCAATTTCTTTAAATGATCTTTTTCACTTCCACTATAGATTAAAAATGTCATCTATATAAACTTGTATGCCAGGTAAGTCTCCAAAAATCTCAACAAAAGTTCGTTGGAATACTTCAAGTGCTGAGCAAAGGCCAAATGGCATTCTCTTATAACAATATCTGCCAAATTTACCCGCATTAAATGTGGGTAAAAGTTAACTAACTTAAGGGTTGTAAATATTTTAGGTCTCCCCATCTTTGATATCACTTGTTCAAAAGTTGGTCAATTATATCGTTACTACCATTGAATTCACCCATTCTGTAGGTTGACTAACCTGAAGCGTCCATGTATATTTCGAATCTTTGTTTCCATTTCTCAATGTTTATGGATATATCTCCTTCAAGGCTTAGTTCACCAGGAGTTTTAAAACCTTCCATTTTTGACACAGTTTTCACAAGGTTCCAGTTTTTTTAACCGAGCACAGTTTCGCGCAGCGCCATTTCATGTTTTAAATGTTAAATAAACATGATATGCAAATTAAATATAACTTTTTCATTATTTTTGAAATGAAAACTTGAGCTTTGTCGTAGCTCTCTATTCTAAACCAATAATTTACACAATGAACATCCTATATAAAAACTGCACATACAAATTTAAAGAGTCAAACGATTAATCAAATCTGGAAATATTATATTTATCTTCGAAATAATGGTCCAAACCAACCGAACCACTAGATTAAGTTGCCTCGATCATAATAATTTACTGGACAATTTAGCAACACACAACAAGAATAAATAACTGCGGCATTCGCGGTTAAAGTGAAATTAAATTTTATGAAAAATACTGATGGCTATAATAACGATGATATTTTTCGACTTATCCATTTCTTTAAGCGGACAACGAAATTATTCTTTATAATTTCAGGACGGTTAAAAATCGCCATGACAACATTTTTGCTTCGGCAATTATTCATAATGTTAAACTTTAAAAAATTTCATAATTAGTTTGTTATTTTGAAATTAATTTAATTGATAACACCATGAAATAGCTATTTATGTACCAAGGGGATTATGTTGATTATAATGCCCAGAAGGCGAAACTAGTCCGAGGGCTATGATTCATAACGCCCGCTTATAATGCCCTGATGTATATTAACGTATTTCGTTTCCTAAGTATTATGGATCTATAATATGTAGTAGAAAATAAAATAATCCTGTTCAACGATAATAATCTATCAACTGATTAGTTTCATGTATTGATTGTTGTGGATAGTATTGAGATTTATGAAGTCACAATTCACTTTTTCCAGGAAACCTATTTCTAACTAATTCGAAATATGTTTTAAATCAATCCAGATTAAAGTGACTCAGGGATGAATTCTGTAATGCTGATGATGTTTTGCAACATTCAAGTCCTGATATCTTTGAAATAAATATCGCAAGACTGCTCAGATTTTTCGAGATTTTTCTTATTTGATTGATAAGTCGCCTTATTGGCATTTCAATTCTCAATTGGGAATTTTTCCTGAAAGTAGCCTTTGACGATTCCAACCAATAAAAACTATCATTGATGGATATTTACATCCAATCAGCGTGCGTTTCAGGGACATTTCAAAGTAGGTACCTGATTAAAGTCGAATAAATTCGACAAAAATGCAGACGGAAAACGAGAAAATAAAAAAAAAAAAAACTTTTTTAAGTATAACTCAAAGGATTTAGGCTATGCTTTGATTTGGGCTCCTCGCTTCGCACACAAAGCGTAATAGGAGTTTTAAACTTTACTACTCTGTTAAAACAGATCCGAAACCCAATAAAGAGAAACCTTTTTCCCTCATAGAAAGCCGACCGGCCGCAAGGCTGAAATATTATTACTTAAGTTTGTTTTTACTTTGGATTCGCCCGGCACGGTTTTATGCCGATAAAGTTTAGTCTGTTTTCGTTGAATCAGACATTTGAAACATGCATGAGATAGCTCAGTAATTATAGACTATAGAAATTCAATGTAATAGTTATGCAATAATAGACTTTTTAAATTTTCAGCTATTGAACACCCTGTATACTTGTACTTGTACTTTATTGCAAAGTTTCTAATATTACCTACAACCAGGGCCGTAGCCAGGGCGGGCATTGGGGGCAATGCCCTATATTTCAAATGATCATGCCCTACCTTTAAGGCGCAACATGCGTTAAGGTTTCTCTAGGAAATTTGAGAGTAGATCCATGTGAAATACCGTATTGTTAGCGGTACCGTATTAGCGTAACGTCTGACGCACGAGAACTTTCTAATGAAAAGGCCTGAAATCGAGTAAATGCGAGAGGATGTGTTTCCGAAAACTCCTAAATGTATGCAACAATGTTTGACTGACGTTTACACAGAGGAAGTTTTGCGTTTCGAAAGAGTGCAAATGAAACGATATTACGATAATACACACAACTACATAGGATTGCTTATCGGCCTCATTTGTGGAAATTGCGGCTATATGGTGCAACACTATTGACGACATCATCAACTATGTCGTCAGCTGTTGGCGCCAGCAGTCGTAGTTTAGAATATACATTTATGATGAAAGATGTTATCATGGGATCATAACCTGTGGTGAAAACTCCCTACGTCAAGGCGAGAAACGACGCGCTCTCTACGTAATCACTGGTTCTTTGCAATGGTGGGGGGCTTGAGATTTGATATACACAGGCCTTATGATGCTAAGCTTTCCTGTAATAGTAGTAGTACTTATTGCGAAAATTATTGGTAAAATTAGTGCAAAAAACATGTATTTCTGTCACTTTCTTTCACATGCTAGTAGAAGAGGACAAGAATGCACTCAGTGCATACTGAACTTACCAATGGATTTCACTATTAGAGTGTATTATCCTTGGTGCGAATGGGCCAAGGCGGGGCGAGAATCAGCGCCATTTTGTTTACTTGCCAGAGATGTTATTTATTGAAAAATTTGCCTTCGGCACCATTACCACCAGATTGTTTATTTATAAGTTAAGGGAGGGGGGGGGGCAAGTAGTGTATGCGTATGGCCTATGTCAAATTTGTCATGCCCTATCACAAATTTGACTCTAGCTACGGCCCTGCCTACAACTTTCACATTTGACATTTCTAGGTATCTCTTCAAACAGGCGAGATAGGTGTAGGTGCAAAATATAGACAATCACCCGGTACATAAGGGCCTTGTTGAATTTACTAACATTTTCCTACCCTGACGAGCGAATATCCTAGCAAAAAAATTTAAGTAATCAATCTAGAGATATTGGCTCAAAACAACTATATCTAAGTAGCTTCCAGTATGGGACCTCAATACCTGCTGGTGAAACTGGCTAACTAAAAAAAATGTTTTCAGTATTGAATATAGGTAATGTTGATTAAATGTAGTGTGTGGAATTAAAATTTAAGCACAAGAACAGGGACGGTACCTAATCTAAACTTTTGATGACACAGTATGTTTTGATTTTTGAAGAATGTTAGATCGAGGGTTTCTCTGCCGTTTTCTTTCCCCTCGAGAATTCCAGGTCGAGAACGGTACGATTCACTTTAATAATAAAGTAGATGTTTCACAAATTTTTCGTTTTTTTTTACATATATCACAACCTTCCTTAAATTTCCCTAATATTTGCTAAGCTGTAAGTAAAATTGAGTAAGTTTCCACAGCGTAGGTCCTATTTGTTTTTCATTTCGTTTTTCAGAGGATTTGTTGTTTAAAATGTAATAAAAATTCACACCGTTCAATCTTACTGAGGTTTTTCAGTGTACTCATTCCATAACAAGCGATGGAATAAATATTTTTCCACTAGTGATGGAATGAAGCTATTCCGTAATCAAAAACTAAGTCAGAATGGACGAATTCTCTAATAGTCATAGAAAAAAGAATTTTCTTTTTTTAAGGACATGTGTGTCTTGTCAAATCGTGGTAAAAATCTTCATATTGAGGAAACTTCAATATACAAACTTAGCGGCTGAAGTACTAGAAACTGGCGGCGACATTCACCAACTGCATATGGGGGTTGTTTGAAAAATCAACCGAAGCATATAAGAATCCATATATAATTCATAATATCTATTATTTATTAATAATTTATAAACGCTTGTCACTTCCTATACTGAATATGTCTGCCATTATTATCAATATGCATAAACCAGTATTACTAATTTCAATTGGGAATTGGTAGTGATTGTAGGTACTCGTCCTACTACAACGTATTTAATTTTAACAATTCTTTGACGTTTTCCGACCTAAAAGAGAAAAATTCCCAAAAAATCAAATATTATTCAAATCTTTTTAATACTTGCCAGTATTTTAAGAACACACAAACCAGAATATAATGTTAAATTTGACTGATGGCTCAGCTTAATAAACGATTTTCTCGCTCGCTCTAAACCTTTAGCTATTAATTATTTTTCAATTATATTCTGACAGCGTTTAAGTAAAATGTTAATTGGAAATTACAAAATTTTAGTTGGGACACGGTACACGGTACAAGCTTAATATATCTGGGTGGGTGAGGTTATCTCTCCATCGTCTTTGGTAATTTATATGTTGAAAATTGGTGAGAACTTGATTTTCTATTATGTTTGAAATGGTTCATAATTACCATGACAAAATTCGAAAAATATTTTGGTTTATAAGTATGTTACCTATGTTTTTCAGAAAAGATTTGGTAGTTACGGATAAATCAGGAAATCATATGTGGTGGTGGTGGTTAGATATGAACAGCATTGCTGGATCTCACCACCAAGGGTATCTATAAACTCTGTAATTTTTATTATTAATTATACCAAATAAAGACCTTTTGATTCATTGATATTGGAAAATATTGTTAATTTTTTGGTGGTTTGCCCTCTAGAGGCTGAATGGGCTCAGAACCTAGACTGTCGAAGTTAGGTTAACTATTCGCACATTCACAATTTTATGTAACGTTAAGTAAACCGACATTAATGTTCAGTGTGATGCCACCTTAAGTTTTTGTTACTTTGGATTTCGTCAGAGATTCCGTCAATTGGAACGTCAAATATGTCACAAAGTGTCAAAAGCATTCAAACTTTCCAAATATTATAATTATTCAACTTGATTTTTGTCCGTAAATCATGTTCAGTTGGCTGGGTAAATTACCCGACCTCCAGCCAGAAATATATGGCAATGTGGTGGATGGATTGAAAAGTATCTACAAGAATAAGTTATTGCCCTTGGAGCAACATTATCTATTTAACGAATTTCATTCTCCACCATTGAGCGATGCAGATTTCGACGCCCAACCCCTCATTCTCCTGGTAAGTTATCGAATAACTTTCAAAATTAACATTTTCGCCCAGCCAGGAAAATGTTTAATACATGCGTGCTCTAAGTTTCAATATAGCCACCTGCACAATCCTGCAGAGATTATACGACGCGTCTGCCGCTTTAATTCGCTCCATTTATCTCTCCCTTTCAGGTTGGACAATACTCCACCGGAAAAACCACTTTCATAAGATATCTGCTTGAAAGGGACTTCCCTGGCATGAGGATAGGGCCGGAACCGACCACAGACAAATTTATTGCTGTAATGTATGGTGAGTAAATATTTTTTCGCCTGCAGGATACGAGAATATATCAAATGATGTACTGCAACAGCTGAATATGTATGAAGTAAATACAATACCTAGAATAAAAATATTATATGGAAAAATGTCAATGAAAAAATTCTCTTATTTTTATAATATAGGTGAAAAAGATGCAGTCATTCCAGGAAATGCTTTAGTAGTAGATCCAAAGAAGCAATTCAGACCCTTGTCAGCTTTTGGAAATGCATTCCTCAACAGATTTCAATGTTCGATGTTAAAGTCACCAGTTCTTAAAGGAATGACTATCATAGATACTCCAGGAATTTTAGCAGGTAATCTTTTGTCTTCTATTAGATAGAGACATGTTCAATGATTATACAAACTTTGGTGCATATAAAGAGCCTTTAAAATTCGAGACTATACGATACTTATACCTAGAAAAACCGTGTGTTTAAAATAAAACAAAGATTCATGAGTTGCTTATTGGAACGTTAAGTACTTTGTAATTTTGTGATTTCCGACTGTGTCTGAATTATACAACCAATCCTAAATACTTCCTTCAACCTAGTTGTGCCAAAACTTTGGACCCAATTTGATCCATGAATGTAATAAATCAAATGTTGCACATCTCATTCATTCTTCTCAAATTAGGTTCCAAGCACCAGTCAAATTTATCAAAAACATTATCACGATATAACGACCTTTCTTACACAACAAACTCAATAAAACTCCCAATAGAACTAATAAAAGTGCCCTTAAGTAGATTTTCTGCTCCCAGCAGCAGTGTAACTTTAAAGTACTTGAACTATTATCATGACACTACAAGGGTTAAGAAGACCCTGTTAACTAAAAGGAGGACGCCTTCCTCTGTAAAGACAAATTAACATAGTCAACAATTTAAAGTTGGGACTCAAAGGCATTCTTGTCGGATGGAAATAGTTTTCCGGGAAATTTCTTGTCGAAATTATATAGCTTACATTTTTGGGGACCTCCGTTATTTAAAGCTTGGCAAGGAGGCAGCAAAATAATTTCAGATTTTGGCTAGTGGTTAATGTTGCGGTGGTCGTATGGATAATATTTTAAAATTCTTGGTATGATTTCAAATACTAAGATCGCGGGAGGCAGCAACATTATTTTCTAAAATGTAATGTGAAATGTCACAAGTAGGTATGTGAAAGGAAATTTGACAACAGTGTCTTTAATAAAACTAAATAGATGAATAGATATTTGGAAAATTAGAAATTCTTTCATTCTCTAAAATAGTGACTTGAGAGACCACATATCAAACAATTTAATTTATAAGTGAGATGAAGTATGAATAATTTCTATAACCCGTAAAAGTAACCATTTTGAACATAGAACCACTAATCTAAAATCTAGAGAATCAAAAACAATTAGACAAGATGGTGAATTATAGTATTTGTAATACCCATTTAGAATAACCCCATCCTTATTTATCAATCACGAATCAGATGAAACAAAAAATTACCAACAAAAACGAACGTCGACTGCTAATACATCAATTTCATGTACAAATAAGAAATTCCTAACTTAATTTCATTTGTGTGTCAAGAAGCGACATACGTTTTGTCACTATAATGACTGGTACTTCTAAATAGGTATTAAAAATACTATAACACGGAAAGTGAACAATAATAATGATTATTCCACTCATGTGTTAGAAATCCCATAAGACAAGTGACGATTTTCAGAATTACAGCGAAAATTCTCTTTTCCATTTGTTTAACTAGAGAGAATTACAGCGATAATTCTCCCATGTTATTGTATACATGGTTGTCATGCTAATTTTTGATACAAACAAACGTTTCCTGATAGCAACCATTTATTTGTATTGATTGTTAAGATGTTCAAATAGTTTAATACATATTTATTTCCATATTTTTTGCATTCTCATACGTGAAATAAGCCTCTAAACACCACTTGAGCTTTAAAATTAACCAGATAATTTTTCACTCATGCGTGTTTTCTCTGCAAATTTCACTCGTCCCATGGACTCGTGAAATTATAGAAAACACGCAATCGTGAAAAATTATCGGTAATTTTGAAGCTCTCGTGGTATTATCCCCGAAAGTCATTTGATTTATAAGTGCCTCCTACTAATATAACAGTTTTGTCATCTATTAGAGAGATGTCTAACTGGATGGTGTCACCCTCTATTAGAGATATACCTACATAAATATGATTACTACTTGGGACTGAAAGCATACTGTGTCTCTGGGAAGTTGTTTTCGGTAGTTGGGATTAGATAATTTGATAATACCCTGACAAGTATCTTGCCAGCAACAGAAATTTAAGATATTTCTTTGTAGTTCCCACATCGAGCTTGTTCTCCCTTTTCAAAAATGGAAAAGTAATCCATATTTCACTTAATCCTTCAACCATCTCAAATCAGGGAACCTCGTTCAGTTCTTGCTGTATTGCTGCAAAATTTCGTTGAAGATGTTATTATGAATTTGTGATTTTCTGTTAAGGCCGCGTTAATGGCCGCCATGTTTAAACTGTGATTGGTTGATTTTTCGAAACTTGTTTTAAGGTCTTTAAAAAAAAGGCACATCAGAATTGGCTCAAATTTGGCATAAACATTATTTGATCGATTATCTACAATTCCTTATTTTGGTTTTTCGACATTAACGCGGCCCTAAGGCCGCGTTAATGGCCGCCATGTTTAAATTTAGTTTTTGAAAATGACGACTGACACTCTACACATAGGGTTCAATATTTTATTATTTGTCCAAAACAAAATCTGTTTGTCGGTGAAACACTTAGTGACAGAGAAAGACAAATATACAATTATGAACCTTCCAATGTAGCTTTTTTGCCGTGGCGCCATCTACTTGAAATTGCTTAAACTGTTTTCATCTTCGAAATTCGTTTTAAGGTCATCTAAAAAAATCCGCAATAATTTCCAAAATCCTTTGGCATAAACATTATTTGATATATTATCTACAATCTCTACAATTAGCTTTTTTGTAACTCATTAGCGTCAGTAACGAATTGATAATAGATCCGAAACAACACAAGAATATATCGGAAACTTTCATAGAATACTGCAAATGATGATTCAAATCAATCCAATTTAACTTGTAGCTTGGTAGTGACCAGTAACTTGGTGGTGAGCAGCAACCTTATTTTTTACACCGTCGTTTATTTATAGGATTTATAGGTGGGCTTGTTTTATCTTCCGCGAACTAAAAGATGACATTACTTACAAAGGCTGATCTGATCTTTCATTTCAAGTAACAAAACTCTTTCTCCAAGGAAAAATTATCTAAAATTTTTCATGGTAAACCTAGTACAACTAATAGTCAAAAAAATGGAAACTTTTTGATGAGTTTTTGCATCTGAAGCAGACTATTTTCGTTTTGGTTAACTAAACTCTACGCCCAACTTCCGACCAACTAGAACTAAAATTATATTTTTCAACTTTCAAATTTCCGCCCTTTCAGGTGAAAAACAGCGTATAGACCGCGGCTACGATTTCACCGGAGTCCTCGAGTGGTTTGCCGAAAGAGTTGACCGAATTATTTTGCTCTTTGACGCTCACAAGCTGGATATTTCCGACGAGTTCCGTCGTTCCATTGAAGCGATCCGGGGTCACGACGATAAGATTCGGATTATACTCAACAAGGTAGGGTTTAGTTACTAGAATGCGTTCTCGAATTCGCTCTATGTTATGATGACTTTGAATTAAGTTCTCTCTCATGGTGATTTCCATTTGTCAATCAGTGCGCACTGAATGTATCTGCATCTTTTTCTAAATGCATGTAACATGTAAGGATAAGGATACATTTTTTTTTGCACTGGTTCGACAAATGGAAAACGCTATCAGTTACTTCATTCGCGTTCGTGATTATGTAATAAGCATTGAAGCTTCAATATCAATAAATGAAGTATTAATATCTAGCTTTGAATGTAAAATAAATTTTCGAACGTACCCTTGCTTTACTTCTTCCGCTGCACTGAGTCTATAGAAATCGGTTTAATGAAATGTGCATCTCACGATAAAACGATTCGAGTTAGGAAATTGATTTTATGATTTTGACGTAGTCAATGTAGGGAAGTAATATGGAGATGTCAGTCAACTTTTTCTCCTTTGTTGTTTTTTAAATAGTTTTTATTTACAATCATACATATAATGTTGACTTTTCTGACTTTTAAAAAAAAAAATTGAAAATGTCACTTTTTTTACTTTTACTGTCCACCCACGGGTACACTAGGTATAGTATTCCCAAACTCAATTGGAACAAGGTATCAACTGGTGGCTGACTGGTCACTGAAAATTTCCATAAGAAATGCACTACCACTAGTCAGCCACCAGTTATGATTTAGGTTCACCTTGTTCCAATTGACTTTGGAAAAACTATACGAAAATAACTATTCGCGCACTAGGCACAAAAATAACTATTTTTTTCACAGTTTTACAGTGTACAAGATATTTTTGAATTTCTTGATTGCGGCTTGTTACATTCTAGTGATACAGGTTTTGTTCTCATTACCCTTGAATATACAATCTTCTTTTGTTGAAGGTAATGGGTGGTAATAATAAACCTGAGTCTGAGCTCGAGAGTCTGATTTTTTACTGTTGCTTGGTATAAATAAACACAAGCTGAGCATTCACTCATTTTCTGACTTGAACTCAAGTATCTTGAGCATATTCTCACATGCACAGTACAGCGCGAAGTGGCATGGGGTTGTTTTGGATTCAGATAAAAAACATGTCTCAACCTGCAAAAAATGATAAATTAGGAATTTTATAATGTAAAATAGGAAATCTATGATTCAGTTTTCCAAAACACCTTGCAATGATGGCCCTTTCTCTGGTGAGCATGTTGTTGAATGCTTGTTACTCGAGATTACCAGGTGCTCCGAAAGGTGTCATTACCCAGGGAACTATGACAAATCCTGAATCGCCTGAGAGAATTTGATTTCTACTGAAAACTGGTTGGATTTGAGAATTGGTCCAAATGCGAGCATCATGAACGGAGCCCGGTCAAGAACCATCCACGCTTGTAAACATTTCTGAGCTCTTGCTCCTGTTGCACAAGGGAAATTGTGTAGCTCTTACCATGCAGCCTTTTCTCTCTCAGCTTTTTGTAGTATTCTTGGAATAACTTCTGCTATGACATTTGAACAGTTGGTTGGCGAACTCCTATATCTGTAGCAACGCCAGGCTGATGAAATACCAGGATCCGCCACATACCTTAGAAAAAATTTAAAACGTTGCAGTGGCGTGATAGCTCCTCCTCTCCTTTCCTCTGAATGACCCAGAAAGTGTTCACACATCCATTCAACATTTTCCTCGACATTTTCCTTCTCAAATCAATATAACACTTTCCAGACTCGATCGTCCACGTGTCTACGAACTGAATATACTTTAGGATTGCGTAAATTGTTTATAAATTCGGCCATGGTGTCTTCCTAAGTTGAGTTTGCTACTGACTAGACTCAAGTGAAATGGACCAAATGCTCCAGACTTGAAGCAAATACTTTTTTTTATTAATATCTACTGAAGTAAATGCTCAAAAACTAGAGTCAACCGAGTTTAGCAAAAGCTATTTATTAATACCAGTTGCAGCATATACTTCGAATACTTTGAGTCTGAGCTTATACTTCATCTTATTAATACCACTGAATGAGTTGAAATTGCAGATTTTTAATTACACTAACAATTTTTTTAATTCTATTATGAATATTTTGGATAGTGTCTGGATTGGCTATCTTTCGTTTTTTCTACAGTCCAATAGCGCACTCGCAAAATTGCTAAAATACTTCAGGACTACAACAAGTTACCAACCGCTGAGCATCTAGGCATGATTACAGGTGATCTTTTTTTCTAATAAAAGTTCGCTACAGTTTGTCTAAGTTAAATCCCAGAATTTTTATTCTACTAGAATCATCTTTTTGTATTTTCAGGCAGACATGATAGACCACCAGCAACTTATGAGAGTCTATGGGGCATTGATGTGGTCCCTGGGAAAAGTACTGCAAACGCCAGAAGTAGTTCGAGTTTTTATAGGATCTTTTTGGAACGAAGTCTTGAGGTAACAATATTTTGATATATTTATTCGAAAAAGGTTTTGTGAATTGCTGAGTTCCTGAAGCTTGTTTATTTTTGCGTTATTTCGACCAAGCAGTGTAAATACCAAATCCTACATATAAGATAAGTGATAGGTAGTCCCTAGGAAAACCACCTATTTAAAATATTATTTCTTTGAATCTTAAATTTTTTTGAGAAAAAAAAAAACGTCTACTATAGAAAAAAAAAGTAAATGTTGCAACCATGTATGCGCCGTCAAGTTTAGTAGGGTTGAATGGGGCGCGACACAGAAAACGAAAGTACCAAAACGGAAGAGGAAAGAAAAGAATGAAAGACTAGACTAGAGAGAAGACGCTTGTCTACCATTGTTCATTATTCAATTTTCATTTTTATTTCTTATCGTATTAAACTGATTGTTCAATCCAATTTGTGATTAATTTGTGTGACAAAAGGAGTATTCACAGGTCAGTTGAATAATTGTTATTTTGTTTTTGAGAGTTCAACTTATACAAGTAACATAATATGACAAGTTATTTAAATACAAATGAGTGGACTGTTGCGGAATTTATGGGTGGACCTCTGCGGGACGAGCGCAGTGAGTTCCGCAGCCATCTATTCATCAATATGTTGTTTAATTACGTTACTAAACTGACTCACTCAAATGTGCGTTATTTTCATTAGTTCAAAAATTACACATTTCAGGTCAATGTCTCACTTGAACAGTTCAATAGTATATTGGTGATTAGATGGCTGCGGAACTCGCTGCGCTCGTCCCGCAGAGGTCCACCCATAAGTTCCGCAACAATCCACTTACTTGTACTTGAACGATAACTTATTATATAAAGTCAGAATCTGTAAGATTATCCACTTTTGTTCAATTTGCCTTTGAATTAGTAATGTTACTTTACCAAACTAGTAATATATTGTAATAAGTTATTTAAGTACAAACGAGTGGATTGTTGCGGAACTTATGGGTGGACCCAACCATCTATTCACCAATATGTTGTTCAAGTAAAATACTAACCTGATTCACTCAGTTGTGAATTTTACTCATTAGTTTAAAAATTACACGTTTCAGGTGAGTGTCTTATTTGAACAGTTCAACAGTATATTGGTGAGTAGATGGCTGCGGAACTCGCTGCGCTCGTCTCGCAGAGGTCCACCCATAAGTTCCGCAATATTCGACTTATTTGTATAGGGTGTTTTTTTATATATTGACAACCCACCTACAGCCTTTACCTTCACAGTTAGAAGAAAGGTGTAAATACAAAAGTTGTACAGTTTTGGCTGAATTTTTAGAAACCATGATCAGAAACAAAATTTGAATGTCAGAAATGTGAAATTTTGCATGCTTCCAGCTTTTTTTGAATGGGATGCCCTATATTTCATTCTATATTCTTGAAGAGCACCCTGCTCCGATCTATATTTGATTGAGCAATCTCTCATATATTATTTGGCTCCAAAGATTGTAAAAATACTATCCTACTACTGATTTTGTGAACCATTCTACTTGTACAGGTGAAAGCTGCAGGTAACATTTGAGGTACTTGGTTTCTCTAATAGTATTTTTGAAATTTTTAGAACCAAATATGTTGGGCACGGCTCAACCAAATATAAACAAACTATACAGTATTTCATCGGTGTATACCATGCTTTTCATCAAGCCCCATGAATAAAAATCGAGTGGCGTAAGGTCGGGTGTCCGTGGAGGCCATCTAACAGAATCCTCCCAACCAATCCATTTAAATTTTTAAAAAATCATATCTCTCTTATTATTTGAATTTCATTGGGATGTTTTAGCGTTGACACATTTTTTTAAGGTGTTTATTTACCCCTTAAAAATTAAATCACAAGACCGTTAACACTCTGTATAGTTTTGGAATCGGGAAATTGTGTTCTTCAAGAATATAGAACCAAATACATATAGCGCATCCTATTTGAAAAAAGCTGAAAGCATGCAATATTTCACATTTCTGACATTCAATTTTTGTTTTCGACCATGGATTTTAAAAACTTAGCCAATACTGTACAACTTTTGTATTTACACCTACCTATAAAGGTAAAGGCTGTAGGTGGAATGTCAATATATAAAAAAACACCCTGTACATAATCTTATTGATTTTGTATAAATATTTATTTATTAGAACAAAAAAAAAAAACAACATCAACTCAACAACTAATGATATACTGTTTGAGGTTAAAGTTCTTGGGACAAAGATAAAAGTGTGATTTTTTTATAGGTTTCCAGCTTTCCAAACATTTTTAAAACCTAAAATATGGTTTTGTTTTCTTTTTTTTTTAAATGTTATTATTTAATTTTGAAAAGCTGCTCCCCACTGTATCCGCCACTGGCCGCCTATGCCTAGACATGAAATATTTGTATGTTTGCTAGCCAAGTGCTAAATAAAAACTATTATTATTATTATGTGCTGTCTTTTGTGCTGGGATTTTAATTTTTGGATTCCGAGCGTGCATTAGGGCCTTGTTGAATTTACTAACATTTTCCTAACCTGACGAGCAAATATCCTAGCAAACAAATTGAAAAATCAATCTAGGCTCAAAAAAACAACTATAGCTGACTAGCCTCCCGTACGGGACCTCAGTACCTGTTGGTGAGACTGGCTAACTAACAAAAACTCTTCAGTATTGAATATAGGTAGTGTTGATTGAATGTAGTGTGTGTAATTGAAATTTGTGTCCCCTCGGTCCAGGAGGTGGCGCCAAAAACATGCAAGAGTTTTCGCAAGGCGGATATTTTCAAAATAGGTCGTACTTTAGTGCTAGAATGCTAGTGTACAGTCAGCACTCACAGTTCCGGGACAGCTGGCTCTGGGACGCGGGCAAAGTTGTGATTTTAAGAAGCATCTAAACTGTTTTCTCAAAGCTCAAAATTTATAGAAATTTTGCACATTATCTGTTTGAAGGTCACAGATAACGTATGTAAATCGTCAGACGTCTAGTTCGTTGCAAAAAGGGGGTCAGACGTCCTCAAAGTTTTTATTTTATGGCATTTTCTTCAACTATATTTGTCAAATACCTGCAAAAATATATTTTGACAGGACACCCAAGAAAATGCCATAAAATAAAAACTTTGAGGACGTCTGACCCCCTTTTTGCAACGAACTAGACGTCTGACGATTTACATACGTTATCTGTGACCTTCAAAAAGATAATGTGCAAAATTTCTATAAATTTTGAGCTTTGAGAACACAGTTTAGATGCTTCTTAAAATTACAACTTTGCCCGCGTCCCAGAGCCAGCTGTCCCGGAACTGTGAGTGCTGACTGTACACTAGCATTCTAGCACTAAAGTACGACCTATTTTGAAAATATCCGCCTTGCGAAAACTCTTGCATGTTTTTGACGCCAGCTCCCCAACCGGGCGCATGTCCAGTAAGTAAAATTGAGTAAGTTTACACATTCACACCGTTCAATCTTACAGAGCGAACCCGGGGTTGTTATAATTCAACATAAATATGTATTTCAAAAACAAATACGACGATACTTTTACAGACCTTTTCCTGAAAAATTAAATAGGCTTCACGAAAAAACTGCACCCCTCAACTTTGAAAATTACCGACTAATCGTCATTAGGTTTCAGCTAATATCCGCAAATTTTATATGCGCTTACACGCATCCAAAGATGATGTTCCAACGCCTTGTATTAGATTTTAACAAAAAAAATTGATAAGCCCCAATTTACCAAAACTACGTCTCCAAATTATTTTTCTGAATTCAGATTTAAATTTTCATTCTTTCTTAATAAAACCAACAGCAATAAATAATTAGGTTGCTTATTTCAGGTACGACATCAACAGGAAATTATTCAATGACGAAACTCAAGATTTATTCAAGGACTTTCAAAGTTTACCGAAAAACTCGGCTCTGAGGAAATTAAACGACTTAATCAAACGCGCCCGCCTGGCCAAGGTACATGCATTAGTAATAGCCGAGTTAAAAAAAGAAATGCCCATTTTCGGAAAGGACAGCAAGAAAAAGGACCTAATTAAAAACCTCGAATTTGTTTATGAAAAAATAAAGAGGGAACATCAAATTTCTATTAGCGATTTTCCGGATATTGTCAGGATGCAGGAAACATTGATCAAGTATGATTTCAATAAGTTTCACTCCCAAAAATTCAAGTTGTTGGAGGACGTGGATCAGATGTTGTATAAGGATGTTGCAAAATTAATGTCTATGGTACCTCATGAACTGCCATCAGTAGTAGAGGTAAGTTATTTTACAAACCAATTATAATTTATCCGAAAATAATTTTCAAGTTTCTCTGATTAAGTATCCAGCGTTGACAAGGGAATATTAATTATTGTGTTTGTTAATATTTCCACACCGTTTCGCCTAAAGAGGCCACTTATCTTTTAGTTAAAATCGCCCTCCTCCTACACAGTTAAGTCTCTCTCGAAATCGGAAATTAAAAACGGTAGGTCTCGATGACAGTCATTGGCGTGTCATAACACGCGCGGTGATGGAAAAAGTATGGATATTTTTCTTGTTTGATTCAAGTAGTTGAAACAGGAATTTCTACCTATCCTATACAAAGATCGTATACTTGTTGTCAATAAAGTTCAGTAGTGCTGACTTCACTTCTGTGGCCATTCTAGTGCTTTTTCTGAGAAACTGTATTCTCTTTTGTCATGATTATTTCGCGCATTTCTTTTTTCTTGCTGTTTTAGCTTAATGCTAAAGAAAACGGAAATATTATTGCCTTGTCGACTATTCCAATGTAGCTATTAAACATAGCAACAGTTCTTAAAAAGGAATTGAAGTGGGCATTATATTTCAAGTAATCTCCTCCACTGTTCACAGGTACGTGGCGGAGCGTTCGAAAACGTAGAGGACAAACTCACCCCTTTCGGATACAGGAGCGGCGAGGGTTGCAACGCAGGTTACGGCGAGCCCGAATGGATTGTTAACAAGGAACGGGCCTCGTATGATACGCTGTTTCAGAATCTGAATCCGGTGGATGGTAAATTGTCTGGAGCCTGTGTAAAGGTATTTCTTCTTATTCTACTGCAAGCTAATAATATTTAATGGTTAAAATGCGAATTTTAATTTTTTTTATTCAATAAATATTGTGGATTCTTGATCTGCATTCTTAAGCACCGCCCTAATGTTAATAAAGGGGGAGAATGTTTTGGAACTGAATGCGATATTTGTCATTTTTCTTCCTGTTGCTCTACTTTTGCAAAACAGATCCATTTTTTTTTCTGATTTGAAGCAACTTTCGGTGAAATATAGGCAACTACATCAACAGCTTGGGAATGAATTGGGAAGACCTTAAGATACCGCTGAGCAAGAAGGTTGTCCGACTCTCCCTGAGAAGTGAAATAAGAGATGATTATATTGAGAGACTTGAATGGAAAATGTAAACAATAGATGATGACGTGTTTGAATGAGGGATAAATAATGAGAATACAACTTGGTCCTAAAAAAATTGATCTGACCCGTTTTTGAGAGAACTTACCAAGATGCACACAAATTTTGGAGTTGAATGAGAACGTGAAAAATAGTGACATTCTCAAGGAACTGTTCAACAAATCTCTATGAGTTGAGAAAGGAAGAAGAGCTGAGCTCAATCTTTCTTAAAGATAATTTAATATCTAAAGTCCTCGCTAAAGTCATAACATTCTGAGGACAATGAAATTTATATGAATAACTATAAATAACATTCTTCTTATTGAGAATTAAAGTGAAGTGAGAAAGATTGAAAGAGTGAACGCAGAACAAGTATGTACTTTTTAATAACAGTTATTGTTCGTCGATTTTTAACTGACACTTTCCGTATGAGAAGCGAGGGGGTGTTTCATATGGCAACAACAGGTGTAACGTCAGGTAACCATTGGAGTTCTAATGTAGGGAGCCACCAGCTCACATTCCGTCCGAGTATCAGATTAAAATCGACGGACAATAATTTAATGTTCTCCTGGTTTTTATATGTGTGCTTCGTTTCTGTATTTTATGACAATAGAGCTTTTTCTTTTGATTTGATTTGATTGATCTGATTTTCCTAAGAAGTGAAACGAACTGATATTCTAGGAGGCTGATCACCTTAAACATTTATTGATAATCAGAGTCGCTTTCCAGTGACGCACTTCAAGCACTCGAGCTGCTCTAGAGTTCTTTATAGGCGTTCCAGTGCATTAGAGTTTCGCGCAACTGAACTGTTCCTTTTTCCTCTCGAGCACCAGCAATTCTATGGTTGCATCAAAAACACGACGTTTAAAGTAGGGTGCGTTCCAGTGAAACAACAGTTGTTTGGAGCACCATAGTATGAAGCTCCGGGTGTGGAGCACCTTAAAATTCGTTACTGGAAAGCGGCTTAAGTCTCATAATATTTTGTTTTATGTTAGGCTGAGTTTACAAAATCAAGGCTACCCAATACAGTGTTGGCGAAAATTTGGAAGCTCGCAGATGTCGACCAAGATGGATCATTAGACGTAGACGAATTCGCTTTAGGAATGCACTTAATCAATGTTAAATTAAATGGCTCCGATATACCCCATGCTTTGCCGGAACATTTGGTACCACCGAAGAAGAAAGACAAAGTACTACTTAGAATACAGGAAATATGTATATAACAAAACATTATTTTGCAGTGGCTAAGAATGGAAAAATATGAGGATGCAGTCGACACAAAATGATGACAATATGTTTGGATAATAATTTTAATTGGAAAAAAATTGAAATAACATACACAATCTTTTATCAAAATAATCTTTACAGTCATATAACGATTTCAATTTATTAGCTCACGTATTGTTTTCTTTGGCGTTTCACTAGACATGTGGTGTATTTCTAAATTAGATCCAATCGACGAAAATAATGGCGTGACGACAAAGCAAGAATTTTCAATGATATCGAGTTCGTAATAAGCTAGTAAATAATTTAAATACATTTTAGTGGCTTGGTATTGATTTTGCGGACACAAGGTAAAAGAAGACCACAAAATGGCTTCAATTATTCACATTTAGAAACAATTATCGTAATCGGGAGTTCAAGATTTGCTGGCCAAATTAATTACCGATTATTAATTAGAATTTCTTCTTCACTTTTAACATGTATCCATGTTATCCAGGCATTCCTTGAAATTGGGAAATATGAGACAGTCATATCTTGATTACCACTTCGCAAAGGAATGGATATATCTGAGAGGTATGATCAACTCGATGTTCTCCGAAATGTAGTTTTGGCTGACCAGAAACGTCGAAATCCCTAAAGGGCCCCACAGACTGCGTTTTTGTTGGATGGATTTGTTCGACGAGTAAATCTGGTCGAGCAGAAACGACGCAAAACCGAAGTGTGTGTACGAAAAATTGTCGTTTTTGCTGGCATACAAAACCGATGCAAATATTTGACTTCGCCTGATTTTGTTCGTCGGATATGTTCGATATGTCAACAAATAAGGCCCCCACAGACTGCGTTTTTGTTCGACGAGCAAATCTGGTGGAGCAAAAACGACGGATCGCAGTTGCACACAGACCTCAGTTTAGTTTGGCGAACATCAGTCATGTTGGAAAGTTTTTATTTATTTTTTAAATTTTAATAATGTAAAGTTACGTAGCTACGCACCACACACCACACAAAACCGTCGTTTTTAAAATTTGTAGCCCACACACTTCAGATTTGTTGACATATCGAACATATCCGACGGACAAAATCAGGCGAAGCCAGATTTTTCTATCGGTTTTGTATGCCAGCAAAAACGACAGTTTTTCGTACACACACTTCGGTTTTGCGTCGTTTTTGCTCGATCAGACTTGCTCGTCGTACAAATCCGCCCAACAAAAACGCAGTCTGTGGGGCCCGAATTTTGAAAACGACCGTTTTGTGTGGTGTGTGGTGCGTAGCTACGTAATTTTACATTATTGAAATTAAAAAAAAAAATTAAAAAGTTTCCAACATGACTGATGTTCGCCAAACTAAACTGAGGTCTGTGTGCAACTGCGATCCGTCGTTTTTGCTCGACCAGATTTGCTCGTCGAACAAAACCGTCAAACAAAACGCAGTCTGTGGGGGCCTTAACCTCTAACAAAAGGGTTGACAATGTCCAAGGGTTAATCATAAGACATATGACAACCAGGAATTGAGTGGGAATTACATCCGAGTGATTTAATAAACCACCAAAAGTTCTTGAAATTGTCCGGAATCACTCAGTGCTGTCCGCGTACCATAATCTGAGATGTGATAGCAAATGTTATGCTTTTCTGTGAAATCACAGTGAACCTGAAAGTCTATGGTAGATCTCGTATTTCTATATTGCACTATTTATTCCACTATGAATTCTGGTCGCATTTTTCCGTTTCCTATTTGGTTACCGCTACATAGAGCGCTAATCCTTTAGAACTTGTAAAATTATATTTGGCATTGCGTTTCCTATTAGGCCAGCGCACATTGTCTACCGCTACATGGTGCGCTACTCCTATAGGACTAGGACTAGTTAAATTATATCTGACGTGGCGTTCCCTATTGACCCTATTAGACCAGCGCACGTAAATTAAATAACTACGCCCATATTGCCAACCTTATGCTGTTACATGACTTTTGACATTGATGGGTTGGTTTTTAATAATAATTAATAAAACAACTTGCAGAGTTCAACTTTTTTTGTAGCAGTGAAATTCTTTCCAGCAGTAATAAAAAAAATCTTATGAAAAACTTGTTCATAGTTGCAGGCAAGCACTTTGCGGTAGAAAATATACTTATTAATAATAAGTGTTTCTACTGTAACAGGAAAAAAATATAAGTGGCAGTAAAGAAGGTTACTGTTACAACCAAGGTACTTTTTGCTAACTTAGTAAACTGCGTTCTACTACTAGAATAGGATCGTTTTGCAATTACAGCCAAAATTTCTCTATGATAGCCGAAAATCCATTAGTAGAGTTTTTGGCTAGAGGATTTCTCAGTGTAAAATCAACAGTAATAATAAAACCAGACACAACGAGAAATATTACAAAATTATTGCACCACCTGTAACCATACCATTTAACCTTAAAAAATGACAACGATAATGCATTGCAATGGATGTCTGCAGACGATCGCAGAGGGTGTGCGCTGGTCTTATAGGAAACGCGACGTCAGATACAATTTAACAAGTCCTTTATGATTATCGCTCCATGTAGCCGTGAGCAATGTGCGCTGGCCTAATAGGAAACGCGATGCCAGGTATAATTTTACAAGTCCTAAAGGATTAGCGCTCCATGTAGCGATAACCAAATGGGAAACGGAAAAATGCATTCCGGCCAGGTACATGCTTGAAGTTTTTGGCCCACACACAGGGCAACACGAACGCGCAAGCTAGCTTAAGTGAAGTTTTTCGTATAGATACCAATTTTGCGGCTACATCTATAGAGTCTAGAGATGAAAATCACAGAAAAGTTTAGGTGTAGTGAATCTTATTACATATTAGGTACCTAACTTGCTTAAATTCTCCAAAAAGACAACCTTTCAACTCTCGTCTCATAGGTTTGATAAAAAAGAATCAACAAACGTCTGCCATTTATATTCCATAATTCCTTATCATCAAGCCAATTATTCAACCGCATGATGGAAGCTCGTGAGACTACAATTTCATTTTAATCCCGAGGAGAAAAATCGGAGTCTTGAATAATTTGCAGGATCAGGCGTGTAATAAAACAGCTGCACACTTTCGTTATTAATCATTACATAAGCTCAGAATATTCCGGAAATATTTCACAAGAAAAGTTGCACAGTGTTGTCATGGCTATTAGACACAGGCTTACTTGTCGTTGAGCGAGATGTAAATGAAAATAGAACCTAGTATTTTATATAGGTACATCTTTTTTAGGTTACAAAAAATTGCTAAATTTCTACAATAAAACGACAATGCGTTGGATAGAAATGTATGCATATGCAGAATTTTGCCAGTAGGTACAAAAAAAGCTTGATTTCCCACAGGTGCATCGCTTTTCATGCAATAAAACGGGATAGGGGGGTGACAAATAAACAAACTTACAAGTTAAAAAGGTAGTTGTATGGTCCCGTTTTATTTATTCAGGGTAATGTCCAGCGAGAAAATATTGTCTCTCTAAAATTTCATGCAAAAGGGAAAAATGTTGCTCATGTTGTCCCTATTCTAAACTAAGATAAAACTGTTGTTATAATTATTGTAATTTTAAGTAGCCAAAACGTGTGATGTTTTTTCCTTAACAAGTTCCGGCACGTGCACAGTTTATTTTATTCCTAATTCCCATGTTTTATGGTAATAAGAGAAACCGAGCGGAAAATGGAGAATCAACCCTAGAATATTATTATAGGGTTCGGTTCCGCGTTCCGCTGAGAAGGTAAAAGTATATAGCTCTTAATTTTGGTTGGATTTCTAGTAAGAAATGAAGTTATTATTCTGAATAAATGAAGCGATTTTTCCTTTTAAGAAAATTACGCAATTTAAAATTGGAAATTTACTTTTAGTGTCATTAGCTTTTACATCTGGAGTGCGTTTAGAGAGTGTGAGGTAGAGTTTGAGTTTGTCAGAATGTTCTGACGTCATCACTTGGAATGCACTCTGGGTGCGTTATTTCTGAATGTATTGGGGCGTTGCGGTAAATGTCAATGTCATGAACTACGACGCAAGTTCGACTCTACAATTTTGAGAATGACAGTAAGAAGTGCATGTATATTAGTTGTATTTCTTTCAAGAGTTTGAAACACTAGAGCTACTCGCTCCGGTGTTAGTCGACCCCGATTTGAAAGGAACAGATGCGCTGGCTTTCGTGCATTCAAATGGTTTAATTCGAGCTTGGGCGCTTCAGGTGCAACAAACACTTCTCGAAAGGAATAAGCGCGTAAAGCCCCGGAGCTGCTCCGGAGCTCCTCCTAGGTGTGAAAGGAATACAACTTATGTTCTCATCAGGGACTTTATTCTCGGCTTTGAGAACAAACAGCGTTTTCATGAGAACGATTGCTCTGTCATTGTCAGTGTTATGGAAATATAAATAGGGATGAGGAAGACAGAATCCACGTTCTCATGAGAACACTATTCCCCTGTTTCGAGAATAAAGTCCCTGAAGAGGTCCTGCTGGAACATCCTTCATTTGAAGAAAGTGCTAAGTCAACATTGTTGATATCCATATTTTTCGACCCCATCTTAGAGGACTCCTAATTATCATAATGAAAATAGCCTTGAAATCACGTCAAACCCGGTAAAAACTGCGGGGCGTTTTGCCGCGTTTTTCAACCCAGTACCTGAGTGGGGTGATTAGGGCGCACTCTGGGCACGTCAACTCTCGATTTCTGAACGACTCTAGCGAGACACTCCGAGTGCTCTCTCGGAGGCTCCAGGTGCTTACCTGTTAATTTATGAACGGTTCAGAGTTACTCTAGATTCTCACACCCATAGTTATAGTTATATTTCTAAACGCAACCCCGGGTTTGAAGTTTCTGAGAATCCATGTCACCATCATAACACGGTTTAAATAGTTATTTACATTCCAAGCTGCGAAAGCGCACTTTTAGGTGCGAGGAGTATTCAAATAGCCGAGGCGAAGCGAAGCGCAGCACCTAAAAGGGCTTTTGCAGCGTGTAATGTATTAAATTTTTCATTCTTTCCCCTCAAAAATCATGAATAGGCATGCGAAAGTGAAACATGCTAGTAGCGAAAGTGAAAGTAACTACTACCATGTTTCACTTTCGCTTTCCCTCGCCTATGCAAGATAAAAAAAATCTACTTTCGTAGGGGGGAGAATGAAAAAGATTTTCCTTCAAGGC